ATTAATGATTAAAAGTTGATAAAAAAAGCACAAGATCGATAATTTCGAGATAGCCTTATTTATTTATAACGTTTAATTTGCACTCATCAGTTTTGCATTTTATGTCAAACTGCATTTAGCTTTTCGCGTGATAAATCGTAACATTTCAACGCAATATACGCAGAGAAGCATGATATTCGTGCACCTTTCAATCTTCGTTTGCACCAGCCTGTGTAAATCTACCGCATACCTTTTGCGCTCTCTTCTATTTTATCATTTATAGCGTTCAATTGCGATTGACAGGAAGAACTTACGTGATACTCTCGATAAACATCTTCGAGGCAGAAATAATCGGCACGGAATCTTTACATTCTTGCTGTTCTGTCATGTCCGCAGGCGCCGATAATTTATACAAGACGTTTTGCAAGACGTTTTGTTGCTACTGTCTGATATAATTACTCTGACACTATTGCTTGTAACATTAATTTTAACGGTATAATATTTTTAACTTTCACGCAGCCCACTGACTTGCATCTGGTATTTTTTAATTAAAAGATAAAAATTTTTGTTTACTAAAGTCTTTTTTTAATAGCTAAGATTAGATTTCTTTGGAAAAATTTTGATAAAAAATTTGATTAAAAAGAATACATCATTTTTAGTTTGGAAATAAAAATAAATTATCTGTCAATGCAAATTTTTTACATTTTTTATATCAAATTTTCTTACGTGATAAAATATTCTATTTTTAATCAAATTAATCAAGGAATTATAAGATCTATAACTGAATAAATATTTGAACATATTAAAGCGATCAAGCTAACAAATATTGGCATATTTTAGATACAGATTCACACAAAATATTGTTGTATTTATTATTTCAGATATAAAAATTATCAAAATTACATTGCTATTTAATTATAAGATTGTACGTTTTTATTATAAAAGGCGAAATTACGAAATTAAATATAATTCCGAAAAATGATACTGATCGAATTTCTATTTAATATTGATATTCGAGTTAATGTAGGTTAAAATCCGGTTCGTGACATTAAACCGCATCTTAATGCGTAATTTCTCCGGATTACATTTAATTCAACATCACTTACCGATCAAGGATGAAATTAATAGATGCCGCGTCTCGATAATCGGTAAACAATGTAATAAATTCTATGGAAGAAAAAACGATAGCGTATCTCACGACTTATCATCTCGTTCAATTATCAACAATCCCCGTCGCGTCGCCCGAGATGATCGCTTCACATTTAAGCCTTTTCCTTCTCTTTGTACCTCGCCGGAACGGGATATTGGACCATCGCTTTTTGTAATCCCCTCTCGAAAAGCCCCGACGATCCCCACAATTTGAGGGACTCGTAGTACATTACGTACCTCCGGATCTGTCGTCAACGGCGGGAGAGAAGAAGACGGTCATTTTTCAATATTACCGCGATAGATCATCCGGCAATAAAGGGGATAACGCAGAAGATGAGCCTCAATGAACCCCGCGGTCTGATTAGGAGAGTGGCCGGGGGTTTATCGACTCTTGAAGAAAAAGGGGAGAGGGAGGACAGAAGGATGATGATGCATGTCGCGAGCTACCTCGGCGGACCCTTCGTTTGCTCAAAGATACCGCCCACATCGAGAGATCTATTCCTTCGCGTCTCATTGATTCTTCCTCGGCGGTGCTTTGTGTCTATTTTATGCGCCCTCGGCCTACCCGAATTATGGAAAGATTTTATTCTCTCTTTTCTTTCTCCTGGATTTTATCAATAAAATGCTCAACGAGACTATCTCAGCTTCCTTCGAAAATCATTCTTAACAATAGATTAGAGAGTTCATTGCAAGTCCTAATGTAAGTAAATCCCGCTTCTAACAAGGGATAAATTCTTTTAATTTTTTTAAGAAAAAAGATTGCTGCATACTTAATAATAATTCGAAGTATAAGCCGATTCAATTATAAACAAATATTTAACAAATTGATAAACATAATTTAATATATTTTTATATGACGAATAAATGCTTAATGTATTATTAATATTTATTATAAAAGATGGAGAAAAGTAAATATGATATATAGTTCTTAAAACTAATATTTCTATACTTGCAATATGGATGTCATTATATTAATTTTTGAGAAAGACTTATACATATTAAGCATGATAAGGATTTATTAATCGTAAAATTAAATCTGGATGTCGTTTATGACCCTAAAATGTCAAAACTGTTCCACAAATTTCGTCATTTTATATATAATTAATTTAAAAACTTTTAAACTCAAACTTTAAATTCGTGATTTTTCTTTTTTTTTGGATCTAACATCTTTCTCAAAATTACACTTCTCTCTTTCTTTTCCATCTTTTTTTCTATTTAATAATAAATCTGACTTTTCTAATTTATTTTTAAGACAAGCTCGCGCAGTTTATTCTCGTGCCGCTAATGGCACTTTTAGCGATGGTACTTGCGCACTTCTCTTCTCGAAGCCGTCAAATCAATTATCGCGTAAACGACATGGCGGATCCTTTATTCGTCTACAATCCGCACCTTCATCCCGCCATCAGCTGAATTCTTAGGTCGTCGAGATAGCCGCAAAGAACAAAGAAGTCGCGTTACGTCCACGGAACGCCCTTTCTTTCTTCCGTTGCGGATAATTAGTTTTACAGCTCCTAAGCACGGCTGTGACGATATTACAGTGGCGCGTAATGTAGTATGTGACGAAAAAAGTCCTTATGATTGCCCTAGAATCGGCAGAAAAATGGATACACGTAGCGCGATTTTATTTCTCCAAAAATCTGAAATCGATCTTCGATCATATTTGTTAGAATTTTATTTATTTATTATATTTTATTTTATTTTATTATATTTATTTTATTATATTTTTATTATATTATATTATATTTATATTTCTTATACTTTATATTTTTTAATTTTTTACTATTAAATTAGAATTTAGGTTGATTGAGTTTCGCCATATGTAGCGAAAAAGTACTTCCATCTATTTAAATTTAAATATCCGTTTTTCGCCAATTTTGCATATGAAAAATAAATTGATTTCGTTCTATCTTTAATTGGATTTTTACTTCAGTTTTGCAGTGAGATGTCACTCTCGCATTTTTGTTTAACGAGACCTGCATTTTACTGTTCTTTATTCGTTGAAGTTGACGCAGTGATATTTAACAGTCGCAAGCAGCAATTCGTTAGTCTGCTAGGTCCTTAGGGTTTCTCTCTTTCTACTCTTAATGCACTTAAGTGGAGTCGACCGAATAGTGCACGACGCCGAGCGTCGTTCCGGATGGATTCGCTCGCTCGCTTGCTCGCTCGACGGTCGAGGATGCACGCGGCCGAGGCGATTAAGGAGACAGAGCGAAAAGAGAAGGTATAGCGAGAATCCCTCCGGGGCAGTTGCGCTAGACAACAAGAAGTGCCTATTTACCGCGGGTCTACGTGCCTGGTGGAACGTGGCGCGATCGCTTAAAGCCAACGATTATGCCCGAGACAGGTGCGTCGAACTGGAATCGCCCCGAGCAAGGACGGAGCACTTTTTTATTTCGCCGCAATTTCACGTTTCGCGCCGGTCGCGTTACTCCGGTGACACTTGTTTCATGCGTTAAACTACCTGGTTGTGCGTCCGCGATCGAGATGACAGACGAAATGTTAAACTTCTCGCGAGACTGGAAGGTGTATTATAACGTCACCGACCGCGATTTCTCCTTTGTAAACATCTTATGCCATATAAGAAAGAAATGAAAGAAATTAAATGCACTCTTTTTTCTCCTTTTTGATAAAATTATAAATAAAAAATGGACAGATAAAAAAAATGAAAACTCTTGACATAATGTAAATTTAAAAACAATAAGTAAAATTGTGACAATTTCGAAAAATTATCTATTATATAGAAATATTAGTTTTTTTTATATTCTTGTACTTTTATATTTCTTATATTTTTTTTATATAAAGCGTTTTATTTTATTTATTTAATCTATTTAATCTATTTATCTGTTTCTTATAAATATCTTAAGTTAATATTTAGTTTCTTATAAATATCTTAAATTAATATTTACTGATATTTGGAAGATCTGTTATTTATTGATATTTCGAAAAACTATCAAACCGTTTCCTTAAATATGACTTACTCATCACCGATCGTTGAACCTGTCAAGAAACGAGTTAACGTATGAAAAATACGCCGCCAAAATAAAATTACGCGTCGTCGGTGAAACGAGCCATCTTTCCCGCTGGCGTCTAAAAATATTTTATGATATTGTTTCCGCACGACGCCTTTGAGATATTTTAACCGCATTCTCAACATCATACGTCCAACCCATCGTCGAGAAGATGACCACACGTCATAAGCTCTCGGTTTCTGTCAGTCAGTCGAGGGTATGTCGGGACCAGAAAGAGAGTGGCGTAACTGACTGCCCCGCAGGAGGCCTCCGATGTCAGGGGGCACCAGAGATCAACAAGTGGGAAAACAAAGAAAAAAAGAAAAGACGATAGAAGATCAAAAATAGAAGAAGAGAAAAAGAAGCAAGAAAACAAAATCTATATCTGCAAACGTTCGCGGCATTGAATCATATTCGTGTCACAGTCGTATCTGATATTTTATCTCGTTTAGCTCGCGCCTACATAATATCACACATTATTATTGAGATCTTGACGCAGCTCGAAGGGTAAAATAATCAAGACTGGCATCGCGTAAAAGAAAGTGCTTAAGTGCCTCACATAACTCTTCAACTCTGATGACCCTCTGATTTCGTAGATATCGAATTTTGCTTACACACTGAAGCCTTTTTAATATTAAAACAAAATTAAAAAATATTTTTCAAAATTTAATTTGCATTTGTATAAAAAATAGTTGCAAAATAAGTGCAACTCATGAAAACGACATTTACCTTGCTAATTAATTATATTATGTCGAGACATTATCGATCTTACTTACTATACTTTTAACTCGCGTTTTTGACCGTATACCAAGAAAGTGTACAATAATCGAAGGAAGCACTAAGCACCTCCCACGCTACAACTTACTTGTAATGTGTCGTGAACTTTTCGATGCCTTCCCCTTTCCTCCGCCTATTTGACAAGTGCGATCAGGAAGAGATTGGAGACTCCTCGGCACCGAGGAAGTCGAGAGTCATGGTGGTCCTGATTGATGGCTTCTGAAATCGCTCGTCACGTTTATCCAACCGTCATCAGTCGCGAGCTGTCAAAAGATGAACAAAGTTTCGGCTGAGTTTATCGAATACATAAGGATTGAATCGAAGTTAAATAATATTATAAATATTATTGTACCAATCAAAATTATTGACACCAATCATCAATTTCCATTCTCATAAATTTGATTGAAATTTCATATATATGTATAATTATAAAATTGAGTTTAAATTTGAAAACTGATATAAAATCAATCGATTGCATCATTTATTATTTTTTGTTCGGTACATGGATCATGAATCGTAAGTAATTGACGTAGAAACACCCCTCGTTATTCCCCCTAGATCATAAGATTTTATGAGTATCATAAAGTATGCGTTACATCAATGAGTTTATCGATATTGAGACGTAAGCAACTTACGCTGCTTCCGCGGAAGCACGCAAAATTAAATTTTTATTATGTTTTAAATAAAATATATATATTTTTCTTATTTATACACAATAAAATCCCTATACAACGAATCAATCGTAGATGTGTCACGAAACAAAGGAGAAGAAATTATCATTTCGATAATTATACCTACTCGACTGACGCAAGAATGCGAGCGAGAAATCAAACCGGTTGCTCATAATAGTTCAGGTTCTCGTGAAGGAGCTAAATTAACGCAAAAAGCACCCGTTGGCATATAATTGTCGCCGATTTGTAAATCGGCGACAATTAATTTTTCACATGAACGCGTCAAATAATTAGTCAAATCCGCGCGATACCAAGCGTGGATTCGAGTTTTACGCGATCGCGCCGCAAGTAAAATCGCGCAAGTAATCAGGGCGTCCGATTCGATTGCCTACACGATTGCAGCAGCACGCTCAGTCCAATTTCGCGATGTTATCTAATCGTGATCTTCAATCTCCGAAGTCATTGAACTCGAAAGAATCATTACGTGAGGCGGGACGCGTTTGGCAGCGAAAAGCGAAACTCATCCACTCTCAGTTTCGTTGACTTCGCCTTGACGTTGCGTTTCATTCATTGTAAGGCACCACCGAGCGAAATCATGTTGTATCCAACACCAAGATTGTTTGAATTAACTCTTTTGTTTATTCATTCTACGTAGGTTTGATATATATGTAGCCATTAATTCTTAGCATTTAATTCTTCGTATATCTTGGGTAACCAGGCATTTTACTACGTGGCGTTGAAATATCTGGCTTTGCCCAGATCTAGTTAATGGCGTCTGATACAATAGAATATCCTTGAAGAATTTAATGATTTTATTGTGCAACGGACTGTTGACGCTTGTGAAGAAATCGCCGAGCGAATTAAATTGTTTAATTTATGATCTCATCAATAACAGATTTCAAATAAAGGGCTGTTACGAAATCATTTATTATCTATATTAAGCCGCTTATAATTTATGATGTATCTTTCATCTTTCTACTGATCAGAATAATTAACACGTTTTAGTAAAAAATGATAATAAAAAGATATAAAAATATTCTCTATTAAATACATATTCCCATAAATTCTGTTTATCAAATCAGCAAATATAATTTAAACGTGTATTTATTGCGCAAATACTTCTTCATAAACTGGCACACTTCCAATGATCTCATCGTTTATTTCACTATCAACATTAATCTTGTTCTCATAAAACATTATTAGTCTCACGCCCTTGAAAAATATTCCGCTATTATTAAAGCATTTCATTGGCAATCGCATTATTTCTAAAACATATCTTCATAAATCTTCATTATAAATAACGAAACTTCTATTATTCTTTTTATAAAAATAGTCTTTATATTCTTCAATTTTTTCTCATATATATTTTTATTGATTTAATATTTTTAATAATTTTTTCAAGTTCATACCTAATTCTTAAAGAAAGATATGTGATATCATTGATATATATATATTAATATATATATAATATCTTGTTTCTGCATATGTATTAATTAATATATATATAATTAATATATATTATTCTGTATGTATAATTAATATGTTTGTATAATTATAATTGTATATTAATATGTTATAATATCTTGTTTCTATATATGTATTGCATTTTTTCATGCAAGAAATTTAAAAATTAAAATTAAGAATTTTTAATAAAATTCAATTTTTTAATTCAATCTTAAATATGTCGGAATTAATAAATAGCGCGTTTTTTCTGATTATATAAATATATATAAATATATAAATATTTACTCTACTATTATATAAATATATAAATATTTACTCAAACTTATAATTAGTATCACAGACACTAACGAGATGACCTAAGCAAAAAAAAACCAACTATTGCGACCACCCAGAAAATGAAGAGTCGGCGACACGACGTGAATCCGAGACCGAGTTTCGTACTAAGAAAGGAACTGTTCCTCTATAGGTCAACTTAGAATAGAATTGAAGCAGTCGAAACCACCACTGGTACATACACTCACACATACATAAAATTAAACACACGTTAAGCCGTACGAACAATGATTTTATGCATGGATTAAAACCGCTGGAAATTAAAAGATTTTTGATTTCATAACAAAATTATCAATAATTTATAATTTCTAATATTCCATTGATAAGCAAATAATCTCTTTACTTCCCTTCTAGAATAAAAATTAGTCTAGTAACAAGTTTTTAAAAATTAACGACTGTATTTTTTACAGTCAGCATTATGTAATTTTGTGTTTAATTTTAAATAAATGTCTTTTTACACGAGTTATGTGCTAAATGTTTTTTATACAAATATTTAAAAATAATAAAGATTTTCCACGTGACAAATTTCAGCTTTTTCCTCTGACAGAAGAAAAAACTTTAACTTTGATAAAATAAACAGTTTTCGATTTCTAAACAGAAAGAGAAATATTGTAACGTCTCGCAAAACTTGAGGCGGAAGTTAAAATATGTGAATTGGATTTCATGTGAAATAGCTTCGAAATTTTTGGATCGATCAAAAAAATGTATTTTCATGCTGTATAAATAAAAATAGTATCGAATTTTTAGATAATTGTCGATAAGACAAGAATAATAGCTATTTTTCTTTACATATGTAATTTCATATGCATTTGCCTTTTGTAAGGATTATTGATGATAATAAGACGATAATTAATTAGAGAATTTATTAACAATGTTAAGATTTAAAAGATTCGATATTGAGATTTGAAATTATCATTTAAACTTAGGATTTTAAATTTTAAGACGTATCTCTTAACAGGATAAACGATGTAATTCAATTAATTAGTATTATGAATCATGTCCTTTAAATCTCTGTCAGAAAAAGACTTTCATATCATACAATATCTGATGTCTTTTGTGATGGCAAAGTTTTTTAAATTAAATGATACAACACAACCATATGATTAAACTATCTAAAAGACAAATAAAAATTAATTTCGATATTCTTTGCATTGATATGTATAAAATTCAATTATATAATGTAAAGCTTATGCGAATGATACTTTAGATTTGCGCTATAGTCATCCCTCGCGGGCTAATTGCGTTTGATATTTCCGTATCACATGCGCATTGATTCGCTTGATTGCAAGAATATGCATGCATGTTAATAGAGCGATAAATATATACGACAGGTAGAAATGCAATCTCCGGTCCGAACAGATAAATTGATAAACTTTACAATGACATTTCTCGTCATTTCTCACAGCTACGTGTCAGTGATGCTTTCCGCAATTACTGGCGACCATCTTAATTACAATCTAATACAAATTCCTAATCATCAATCAGTTCGTTTTACATACATTACGCTTATGCGAATGAATGAAGAAAAGGCATATAAAATTTGTGCTATTTATTTCATGTTCTTTACTAAAATTATAAGATGATAATCAATAATATTCAATCACAGATGTGGCAAAAAATAAATTCATTTTAAAACATTTAAAAAATTTCCAATATATTTAGATTTTAACTATTATTTTTATATTTCCGGATAATTTTTCAAATATGCAATTATTAATTTTATAATATAAAATAATATAAGATAATAAGATAAATATTCCAGAATAATATAAAAATAATATAAGATGCAATCACGTGATAATTACACAATATGTAAATAATATTCAACAATATGATATTTCTATAAATTTAATCTTGATTTATTTTGTTTAATTATAAATTTTGATTTAAATAAATGAAAGGCACGTAATCTTTGTAAGAGATACTAAAATTTGTTATGAACTTCTTACAGAGCTGCATAAATCATAGTTTGCGGTACTTCGACACTACTGCGAGTCAATGTTTGCCTACTGAAAGTAGCTAAGCCAGTGTAATAACTCACAGAGTTATTCAAACGTGTATACATTCTTCTCGCAATAACTGATGACGCGAGATGTAAATGCATTCGTATATTCAATATAAATTAAAACTTTCGTTAATTACCTGTCATACATAAATGTGATTCATGATACGTATCATTACTATCCTCGATGGTTAATCTATTTTATGCAATAGAATATTTTTTATATTCTCACTATCTTTTATATCCTTTTTACACATTTTTAAAAGAATATGCGTGAACATTTTTACATATTATTAAACTTTTTTATATATTTTTACACATAGTTTTAGTATCATAAATAATTTTTCATTATTTATAGCAAAGTAAATATTAGTTTCTTGTTGAAAAAATTATTTAATTAATACAATGTGCTTTTCCCTTTTGCCAAAAAATTAATGTATCAATGTTGTGAAACTTAATATTATTACGCAATCGTTTCTCCTGCTGATTCACGGAATTGCTACCCATCTTATGATGAAACGCATCAGAAGATGGTAATGAGGTCTACAGAGTGCACCGAAATAGTGATCTGCTAAATATAAATCACACAGAGCAATGTGGCTGAGACAAAAGACAAATGAGATACTATTTCCGGCAACTACATCTGAATGTACATAAATCGTGATTCGCGCAAAAGTTCATTGCTTTTTACTGCTTAATTAATTTGTGTATCTCGTTATTCAAATTCATTCGAGAAGAAGTAGAAAATATCAATGAAATATAGCAAAAGTATGAGACCGACATTTAGTCTTGC